CTTCATAAAAATACACTCAATCCACACCATGGTATTGAGGCCATCACTAGACCAATGTCCTAACAACGTCATTGGACCAATGTCTTAATATATGCCATGAATGCATGAAGCGCAACAACATAAATAACACCTGACCACAACTAGTAAAAACGCATCATCATCCATGCAATCATCATAATATCATCACATACTTCATAATACACATGACATCATCATAACAACATCAATTCATTATACAAACAAACATCATATTACGTCAACTCATATTCACATCAATTCGTCATAGCAACATCTCAATTCACCACTAAAAATATAATTTAATCATAGTAGAGGTATTAGGAAAATATATCATCCTACTCATTTTATTCTACCAAAACATAGTTCATCGTGTTAGCTCTCTAACGCTTCAAACGATGCATTAAACAGAGTCCTGAAACTCAAGTTACGACACTTTAAAAAAAATTCTACTACCCCTCGCCTGAGGCTCGCCCGACGAAGAAGCTTGCTCACCTGAGGCTCGCTTGAAGAAGTTGGGGAGACTCACCTTCCCCATACAATTTTCCATAAACTTGAGTTTATCCCATTTCCCTCGCCTCTCACTCGCCCGACGAAGCTCACGCTCGCCACCAATTTCGGCCGGTGAAGTTAGAGCGAGAAACCCTTCCATACATTTTTCCAAGAGCACGGAAAATCACCTATTCCTCTCACCTCACTCTCTCTTGGCACTGGATAGGAGAATTAGCTTCACCCAAATAAGTAAAAGGCTCGCCCGGCAACGCATCATGATCAAGAACTTCTTGGTACGATTTCTGCAATACACCACTTCCAAAATCCTTACGATTTCACATCAAAGCAGACTCAAAATCACATAATTCACATGTTATCACAAATACAACAAAAACACATCATTTCATGGCATTACAACACCAATTTATCATCAATTTCATCACCTAATTCATCACAATCATCATATTTACAGGTTCATCATAAAATCCCCAAACAAATTTACATACATCTAAACCCCATATCAATTATAATAATCAGGATAACTCCTCTTACCTCGGATTCTAGCTTTGATTCATGTTCCAAGTTCTACGGTTGACTATCTTCTTTTCTCTTCTTGCCCTAACTCTTCACTGCTCTCTTCTCAATTTTTACGATCGTGCAGAATGAAACACTGACTCTCTCTTTTTCCTTTTTGTCCAACTTACCTCTTAGACCCATAATATGTTATTCCTCTCTTGCCCTCACTTACTCCACATAACATGACTAATAAGCCCTTAACATCTCTACTCCAATTATTCTATTTTATTTAATTTTAAATAATACTATTTAGTAATTCTAAACAATTATACTAATTATCTAAATTATTATATTATTCTAATTTTCACCTTAATCCACACTATCCCACCATACACCACACATTAAATTATCAATAATTCACACAATCACATCACTTGTCATAATTCAATAAAAGATTATATATTCACAAATATTCATCACATAACCAATTAAATAAATACCTTTAATTAATTTTGGGTGTTACATAAACCACCCACTAACTTTTCTCGATACACTTTATCCCAACTCATCCACGCCATCTTCCTCAATCTCTCCATTACTCCCCAAAAAAAGGATCTTTGGTATTTTTATAATTTCATTAATAACAAGCTTTAACAACTTACATAAGGAGAAAAAATGAACCTCCAAACTATTCAAAATCGAGTTAATCAACACAATCCTACCACCAAAGAATAACTTCATACCTCTCCATGATGCCAATATTCTTTGAAATTGATCTAAAATTGAGTTTCACGTACACTTTCTTCTATGATTAGCCCCAATGAGAATCCCCAATAATGTAAAAGGAAATAAACCAACACTATAGTGAAGAAATGGTGATGCTTCCTGGAGTAAAGGATCTTTCACATTTAAACCAAAAAGTTTACTCTTCAAAAAAATTGAAATTCAAACCTAATGATAACTCGAAGCCCTTTAAAAAAGTTGATACTCCACATATTAGACCAAGATGCTTCCCCTAACAACATAGTGCCATCGATAAATTGCAAAATATCAAACTCAATATCTTCATTTACTTTGAAGGGAAGATAATCTCCCAAAGAAACAACTTTAATCACTAAAAAATTTAGACCTTCTGCCACTAAAAGAAACAAGAAAGGAAATAAGGGACCCCTTTCCTAAGACTCATGCACACATTAAAGTATTTGGTTGGACTACCATCGACTAGGACATAAAAGCTACTAGTAAAAACACACTCCTCCATCCACCCATCCAACGTCTACCAAAGTCCATGGCCCTCAAAACATTTCTCAAATGGTTCCACGAAACCTTATCACACGCCTTTTCAAAATCGATTTTAAACAACAAGCACTTTGTCTTATGCCTCTATAAAGCCTTAAAATAGTTAGTTTTTTTTTAAATGTACGTGTATTTAATGCATTGAAATTGAAATGGTCAACTTTTTTATAAAATAGTTTTTTATTTGGAATCCTTAAAAAGTGTCCATAGGATACTTGTTAGCAAGACCCTTAACTAAATCCACCACCTTATTAATAACTAAAAAACCATCTAACATTTTCCTATTTTTGCAAAAAATCGATTGATTTTTGGATATTAATGAGGGTAAAACCTTATTCATGGTAGAAGCCATGATTTTGGAAATTAATCTATAAAGACTAGAGATCAAGAAAATAAGACGAAATTCACCAACATCTTGTATTATGCAATTAATCTCGCTCTTTTATACTTTCTTCTTCAACCAAATAAGATAGGTACCTCAATCTCTTTTCACTCCCTCTATTCAACTTCTCTCTTTTTTCTCTACTCAAACTAACACACGCTTTCAAAACAGACTCAGTGTGATTCAGTTCAGTTAAATCCCTATTAAAATTGCATGATTCAATTCATTTAAAACGTGTTTTCTTGTACTAGTGTACACACACTTTAAATCAATTCATACAAATAGAATATTAATAAGGGCAAAACCTTATTCATGGTAGAATCTAAGGTTTTGGAAATTAATCTATAAAGACTAGAAATCAAGCAAATAGGACGAAATTCACCAACCTCTTGTATTATGAAATTAATCTCTCTCTCTCTCTCTCTCTCTCTCTTATACTTTCTCTCTTAACCAAACAAGAGAGATACCCTCGATCTCTTGCCACTATCTCTATTCAACTTCTCTCTTTTTTTCTCTACTCAAACTAACACATGCTTTCAAAATAGACTCAGTGTGATTCAATTCAGTTAAGTCCCGATTGAAATTGAACGATTCAATTCATTTAAAAATGAGTTTTCTTGTACTGGCTCACACACACTTTAATCAATTCATACAAATAAGATATTAATGAGGGTAAAACCTTATTCATCGTAGAAGCTAATATTTTGGAAATTAATCTATAAAAGTTTGAGATCAAGTAAATAGGACGAAATTCACCAACCTCTTATAATATGCAATTAATCTCTCTCTTTTATACTTTCTTCCTCAACCAAACAAGAGAGATATCCTCAATCTCTTGTCACTCTCTCTATTCAACTATTCTTTTCTTTTCTCTACTCAAACTAACACACGCTTTCAAAACAGACTCAATGTGATTCAATTCAGTTAAGTCCCGATTGAAACTGCTCGATTCAATTCATTTAAAATGAGTTTTCTTGTACTGACTCTCACACACTTTAAATCAATTCATACAAGTACTTTCAAGTAACTAGACACAAAGTGACACAAAAAGACTAAAGAGACACAAAGAGACTAAAGTAGAAATATATATATATATATATATATATATATATATATATATATATATATATATATATATATATATATATATATATATATATATATATATATATATATATATATATATATATATATATATATATATATATATATATATATATATATATATATATATATATATATATATATATATATATATATATATATATAGTTATAGTTATAGTTATAGTTATAGTTATAGTTATTGCTAAACACTAAATAGGTGACTTTCCCGCTGGTTGAAAGATATCGGGGAGAGCCTCAAGCAAGTGGGAGTGAATTGTTTATGATATTAAGAAATTCAGAGGTTAACACAAGTATGTGTGAGCTCCAAGTCATGTGTCTTTCTTACCCCTCAGTCAGGAGCCCTATATATAGAGGTTCATAGACCTCATTGATCACTGTATATAACTGTTGTGACTCTTCATCATACGTAATTGAGCTACCATTAAGGCAAGAAACGTCTGTCGTTTCCAATGAGGGCTATTATCATAACATGCACCATCATGTATTAATGAGCGGTTACGCCCTTAATGGGACAGTCACTCTATAACAGCCTCATCAAGGTCGAGCTCTATGTAACATCTCGATCCAGAGATAACGTTTGAGTATAAGCCCGAATGCGCCTCTTCATCTTTCTCTATGGCCGACCACATATGCCTCTGGCTATACAACCCGGCTCAGGCATGAAGATCCCAAACCGGGGTACTACCCGGCTAAGCATTTATTTGTCCTCCTTGGCCTTTTATCCATATCTTTCCTTTTTATCTTCCCTAGCCTGGACAATGGATCTATGTATGAACATAAGCCCCACAAGCATATGGTTTTATTTGAAGCCCTATGTTAGGTCAACATAAATATTGATCTTTTGCTCCAGGTCGGGCTCCTATAATCGGACGATTGTCGAGTTCATTCCCGACATGTATGACGCTCACGCCCTAGTTTCCTAACAGTCACCTAGTTTTTTAGGTGTAATCATTACTAAGGAAATTTTTGAAACCTACACACTTTTCCTCTTCTTTAGTCATTACTTCCTATAAATTCTCTTTTTATAAAAACTTTTCCTCTTCTGTTCCCTAAAGACTCTCCTACTTTCCTTTGCAAGTGCCCCTCAATTCCTCTCTTCAAATCTTTCAAACGACAACCACTTTCAGGTATCTTTCTCTTCCCTTCACTTTATTTTATCCTTTTGTTTTAAGAAATGGTAGTTTTACACGAATGTGATGAATATGGTGTCATTCTAAAACTCCAAAATGCTGAAGAGAGATACGCAATGTGGCGTGCATGTATGAGAGGTTGCAAAAAAGGATTAGGTAGAGAGGAGTTTGATCGTATTATGCTGGAGGTTTATGGGGATATATATGGATCTTTTAGCAATTCTGACCCCCAATCTTCCTCTTCGGGTTCCATGGAAATCCTGATAGAAACTTCGGGCTCCTTTAGTAAGAAGGTGATGGGCTATGAACAAATATCCATGGATGAGGTGGAGATAGAGAAGCTTCGCTCTTTACGAAAGGTGTCCTAGACAAGAAACAAGGATAATATTGTTTTGGAGGCTTGCATTCCCAGTGAACGAGTTTGTATTTCCCAGCCAAAGGGAGTACAAGACAAATTCTTTTATTTTTATGTCGGGGTGTTAGAGGATATGCTTATCCGCATCCTCTTCACTGACTTTGAGGTAGACATGTTAAAGACACTAAACATGGCCCCCTCTCAACTTCTCCATAACAATTGAGGCTTTATCAAAGATTTTGAGATGGTGTGTGCAGCGTTGGATGTGACTTCAACCATTGGTTTGTTTTTCTCTTTCTTTGAAGTTAAAAACGTAGAATCTGGAAGTTGGGTTGCCTTTATGGTGTAACCTGTAAGAGCTTCCTTCAATCTTATACCACCATAAGCTTGAACTTCAGTGAATCATTAGCCCCGGTTATTGCCATCATATTATTAACAACAATGATATGCTCATGAGGATCAGATTTACCGTCGTATGTTATAAATATCAGAGGTTTGAAATTCTCTAGAACCTGATCGTCCTAAATAGCATGGGATAATGGTTGAGACTCCAAAAGCTCAAGTCCCTGGTCGCCATCGTCTTGGCTCTTCATCTGCAGGACCTGGACGCTGTCCTACAGCGTATCGTTCTACTGTCGGAGATCCTCGATTATGGCCAATAATTACGCCATGCATGGAGGGGGATCCTCATCAGAAGACATTGTTCAAAGGTGTTTAGATAATGCGGTCTGGGAAAGTTTTACTAGGCCCCACGGTCGGCGCCAAATATTCTTGCTAAATACTAAACGGGTGACTTCCCCGCTGGTTGAAGGATATCGGGGAGAGCCTCAAGCAAGTGAGAGTGAATTGTTTATGATATTAAGGGATTCGGAGGATTACACAAGTATGCGTGAGCTCCAAGTCATGCATGCGTCTTGCTTACCCCTCAGTCGGGAGCTATATATATATATATATATATATATATATATATATATATATATATATATATATATATATATATATATATATATATATATATATATATATATATATATATATATATATATATATATATATATAGGTGCATAGACCTCATTGATCACTGCATATAACTGTTGTGACTCTTCATCATACGTAACTGAGTTGCCATTAAGGCAGGAAACGTTTGTCGTTGCCAATGATGGCTATTATCATAACGTGCGCCGTCATGTATTGATAAACGGTTACGCCTTAATGGGTCAGTCACTCTGTAACAACTTCATCAAGGTCGGACTCTATGTAACATCTAGATCTAAGAATAATGTACGGGTATAAGCCTGGTTGCGCCTCTTCATCTATCTCTATGACCGACCACATATGTTTCCAACTATACAACCCTTAGGTCATATATATATATATATATATATATATATATATATATATATATATATATATATATATATATATATATATATATATATATATATATATATATATATATATATATATATATATATATATATATATATATATATATATATATATATATATATATATATATATATACTCATGCAACCAATGACATCACTCAAAATGTTAAACTATGGATAAAGAGACACACACTCACAATTGCATGGTTCAATTCAATTCAAATTTTCTCAAATAATTTGTGCTTAGCTAGAATTTAATAATCACTTAAATTAGTGATACCTTATCACTATTGAAAATTTATTTATTTTTCCTGGCCCCTATTTTAATTGAAAATAGTAGTACTTACTAATATGAGAGATTAAAGTGGAAAATAAAATTAAGAGGGAAAAATACATTTAACTAAGATTAGGAGCCACTCATCATCTTCTTAAACTCTTCGAAATTCACATTACCATCGCGATCAGCGTCAACGTTTCCGATCATCTTCCGGCACTCACTGAGCGAACATTTCTCCCCCAACCGCCGCATCACCGCGTGCAGCTCCTTCGCCGAGATCAGTCCATTTTTGTCCAAATCGTACATCTCAAACACCTCCCGGAGCTCTGAAGCATCACCGCCGGCAGCGTGAATTTCTCCGAACTCCTTCAGATCAATGTAACCATCGCCGTTCTGGTCAACCTCCGCCATCATCCGGTTAACTTCCTCCGACGTCGTCTTAGATCCGAGCGCCAGCATCATCTCCTTGAGCTCCGCGCGCGAGATCTTCCCGTCGCCGTTCTTGTCGAATTTGTTGAAGATCTTCCGCACTTCATCGTCCATGGCTTTCGCCGAAAGAGAGTGAACGTTTTCTGTTTAGTATAGTTGAGTTAGTTTCTGAGACTCGTGATTTATAGGAAACGTGATTCGCTCACAGAAACGCGTTTTTTAGGTTTAAAAAAGTTGTTTTTTGAGGTGGCTTAATTTTTGACACAAACGCGGTGTTAGAGTGAAGCGAAAGTGAAATAATTGAAAGCGAAGGAAGAAGCGTGTTCTGAAAAATATGGTTGGAATTCACGAGATGAGATCATAGCATGTTGTTGTGTCGTGCTGTGATTGTCTCTGGTCACCATTTGTGGTAAGATGAAAGCTGGTCCTAAAAGCACAAATGGCAGATATTTAATTTGGTGTTTGAAAATGATGATTAGTTTTTATAATCAAATTGTCTCAATAAGTGCCGCTTATATGGTTACAGATTTTGGGGAGGTGATTGAGTTTAATTTACGATTGTAACACGCCACAATGATTGGATGACACTTTGCAATTAATCATTGTGTCAACAAGCTTTAATTATAATCAAATATTTTAGACTTTTAAATAATATGAATTTGATGTTAAGGGTATGTTTCATGCTCGATAAACTAATTGATACTACTTAATATCCTCTCTGTTTTGAAATAAATATCGTTTTTTTATCTTTTTATATACAAATTAAGAAATGCAATCATATTGTTATAAGATATTGTATTTTTATCACATTAGTCTTATTAATTTATTGAAAGTAGTGTGCAGAATAATAATTATAGGATACAATTGAAAAAATTATTATTATTATATTGAAAAGTGAGAATGACATTCATTTTAAAACAATTTTTTTCTTCTAAAACGACACTCATCTTAAAACAGTATGAGTATTTGATAATTGATAATTTATAATTGATGATTGATAATTTAACTAATGATCGACAAGTGATAAATTAATTTTAATGTTTGATATATTAGCGGTTACACTAACAAACAAATGCAGAAAAATATATAAAGACATTTTTCTTAATCAAGAAATTAGTGATTTTATTGTCTTTATATTGTACTCGTAAAATGATATCATTTATAATGGTCAAAAAATATAGGTGTACGTGACATTCTTATAATGGTAGGAGATACTCAAAGGTTTTAGTAAGTTTATAACAATTTATGGTGGTTATGGCTTGTCCACGGTGGCTAGAAGTCATGTATGGTGGTGTTACAATGTTTGTTGTGGTTTAGAGGACTTGCTCACGTGAGGTGAAAGATTTTGTATCTGAGCGTAGTGCTTAGGTGTTCTATACAAGTTATGATATGTCCCTTCTCCCTCTAGGGGGAGAAGTATTAATAGATGTCTTTGGGTCTAGGATTTAAGAAACTCTTAGAGGAAGTAACCACTTCCCATTGACTAGAAGAGACCGATGACTATCTACTTTTTAGTGAGTCGGGGTATTACCCTTTCTCATATTCCATATGACTAATGAGAAGGTAACAATAATATCCACATCCTCCGCCTCAAAGGCAAGCCCCCATGCTTTGTGAGGATGTCGCTTGAGCGACGTCGTACTAGGCGGGGATCCATGAGTCACTCTTGTTTGTGACTCTCACAAATATAATACTACACAGTTCCTCAAGCATAAGGGCTTGCAAAGGGCAAAATATTTTAAGGTTTTTTTTCGGGTCTCATCTCGTGGTCTGGGGCGAACTAAGAGGTAAATTCAGTATTTTGGGGCGTGGCCACCTTTAAATGGGAGGCGAGTCCCTTAGCTTGGGGTGAGCCCCTCAGCTGAAGATAATCGTTTTAATGGGAGGCGGATACTTTAGTTTAGGGCGAGTCCATTGGGTGAAGGCGGCTTGTTTAACAGGAGACGAGTCTCTCAACTTGGGGCGAGTCCCTCACTTGAAGACGACCTTTTAATGAGAGACGAGTCCCTCAGTTTGGGGCGAGTCTCTTAACTAAAGACAATTTTTTATTGGAAGACGAATCCTCCTAATTGGGGATGAGTCACCACCCTCATGCCAGATGTTTCCTAATTAACCAAGATGTCAATTGGGATGTCAATCAACCATTCAAATAGTCATGCTTTACTTCCATTTAATGTATGTAATAATGGTCTATTTTTAAAGACCATAAACTCTAGTGCCAACTGTTAGAAGCGTGATGATCTTTTTCGAAATTTTTGGGGAACCTAAAATGTACCTTGTGGTATTAACTCCCTTATAAAAGCTTTTCCTTCCACTTCTTTTCTCTATTTTGCTCCCACGGTTTCTTCGAGCTCCATCAAACTGCATAACTTCTCTACACACCCCTGACTCTTAGTTCACAACATTTTCAGGTATGGAATTTCTTTTATCCCTCCTCATTCTGTTGTGAGTAAGGATTATAAAGAAATTGTCTAGATAGGGATTATGTTAGTGTAAAGCTATAGGTTTTGAGGGTTATAATCGCCCATTTTGACGATTGTGACAATAATGGTGATTTATTTTTGTTCTGTTGTTTTCCCAGAAATAAAAAGATAATGGTTGTCCCCTCTGTCATGCCTAAGAACGCCAAGGACATTGTACCTTATTATACTTCTGACGAACAAATCCTCTCTTTCTGAATATAAGTGAGGGTTTCTTCTTCAGATGAGATGTTTATTCTGAAGGCTTGTTCACCATCAAAGAGGATAACCATGCATGTCTCATGTGGTCTTCCCTCCCCTATTTTTACTTCTACCACCCCCATTATAAAGGATGTGTAGGTTCTTTTCCCTCATTTCTCTTTTTTCCATTGAGGTTCTGAAGATTCTCAACATCCTGCCCTCCCTGTTGTTCCATAACAATTGGGGGTTTTGTCAGAGC